ATATATATATATGCAGAGGACCTAGGCATGACCTTTACAGACTTCCCGATTTCTGTGCACCCCCATGAGTTCTGGTCGATTGGTTCTGTGAGCCATGTTCTAGTAGTGCTCCTCAGCCCTGTGCTTCTTCTGATCCTTCCTCCCACTCCTCTAAAGAACTCCTCAAGCTTTGCCTAAAAACAAAACTTTTGCTTTTCTTGACTATGGGACTCTTCATCTGCTCCCATTAGTTGAAGTCTAGGCTCCATTGGTCCCAGACACTGTGCCGGCAGGGTAAGCTGTAGGTCGAAGGTTTTGAGTCTGGGGTGGAATCCCAATTCCTCCAACTAAGGCCTTGCTTGATTACAGAATTTGGCTGGCTCAGCTCCTTGTCCTCTATAACTAGGAGTCTTTGCTAGTGTTACTCTAGTAGATTCCATGGAGTTTCCTTGAAATAGATTTTTACATTGCCCCTAAAAGCCCCCACAAGTCCAGGCTTTCTCTCAGTATTTATTCCCCAACCCACTTGATCCATTCAGTTTCCAACCCTTCTTGACCAGAGTCTATCCACTAAATCTATTCTATGTCCCCTTCAAAGGGAGACCAATTGCATCCCCACTTAAATCGTGCTTGTTATTTAGCTTTTTTAGGATTGTGAACCATAACATGATTATCTTCTACTTTACAGCTAATATCTACTTATAAGTGAGTACAATTCAGGAATGTTCCTACAAACAATGACATGCATTCAGTTACATTCAAATAGGTATTTAGAAAGCTGCGGAGATCGATGGAGAGTTATTATAAGAATCACTACTGTTTTTAAACATTTTCTAGTAAAGCATTAAATGGAAAGGTCTAGAAATAATTTATAAATTGAAACTGCATTACCTTCTTTCCATGTGAAAAAACTTCATATCATCCCACTAGGTCTAACATAAGACATAATTTTATACTGGTCCATCATATTCACATTGTGCATTCTAATTGCTTCCAGTACTTAAGTAGTTACTGAGGTGTCAGCATGGACTGTAATGGTATCGCAGTGCTTGTATTTGAATAACCCTGATTTCAACAAACAATGGTCACAAAATACAAGTATTATTTAATATACCTGCATAATAATTTATTTTATAACTAGTTGTATTTGACTTTTTATTGTATTGTGTTCAATTGAAAAAATTAATTAATAACAGATATATCTATACAGAGATACATGCATGTAGAGTTTAATAGTATTAATGCTTTTAGGCTACAATGAAGGTCTAGAAATTTATTTCTCATATATCAGAGGCAGTATTGTGGAAGAATACAAAAATGAAATATTCATATTAAATCATTTATTATCCAAGATTGAATTCTTTCTTAGTAACATTCGAATTGCATTTTTAACCTCTGTATTTCGTACAGTGTAGATAATTGGATTTAACATGGGAGTGACAAGTGTATAAAACACTGCTATGGCTTTATCCAGATGAAAAGTTGTCACTGGTCGCAAATATGTATAAATACATGGCACAAAGAACAAGACCACAACTGTGATATGGGAGCCACAGGTAGAAAGAGCCTTTTTCCTCCCAGTAGAGCTCTGTGTCCTCAAGGAGCACAAAATGACCACATAGGACATCAGCAGTATAGTGAAGGTGATCACAGGGATTACACCACCATTGGCAGCAACCAGGAGACCAAGGATGAATGTGTCAGCACAGGCCAGTTGTAGTAGGGGGAAGATGTCACAACAAAAATGGTCCATGACATTAGGGCCACAGAAAGGAATCCATAGAGTTACAAGTATCTGCCCAAAAGAGTGGAGAAAACCCGTTATCCAGCACACCCCTGCTAGGAAACAGCAAGTGCGGTGGTTCATCTTGGTCACATAGTGCAGAGGTCTACAGATAGCCACATAGCGGTCATAGGCCATGACCACAAGTAGGACAATCTCTGAAGCTCCTAAGAAATGTTCAACAAAAAGTTGCATCATGCAACCATTGAATGAGATGGATTTTGTCTCTGATAGCAAATCTGCCAGCATTTTAGGAATGATAGAAGAGGAATAGCATGCATCTATCAGAGATAAAATTGCCAGAAAGAAGTACATTGGGGAGTTCAAAGTCTGGCTACAGACTATGGTCCCAACAATGAGCAGGTTTCCTGTGACAGTGACAATGTAGGTGATAAGTAACATCAAAAGTAAAATTCTCTGCAGCTGGGGGTTCTGTGTCAGTCCCATGAGGATGAATTCAGTCACATTCATTCTGTTTTCTCTCATTTGAATGCTGCTAGAGAGTTCAAATGATGGGTTAACCTAGAAATAAAAAGTCCCCATAGAAAACTTGAAGAGAAACTTGCCTTACTTTCTTATGTGAGAAAATCATTTTAATAAAAATGGCAATTATGTTTCATGTATATAGAAGAGAAGAAACATGCTATTTCATCTATTTTATAAAACATTAGAAAAAAATTCAACAACTTTGAAGGATGCTGAAATCTTCTTACATGTGGTCAATAGACAATTTTTTCAAAAAAGAATCACACAAGTCACATGCTTTTTCTCTGTCTTCACCATGGGTTTTTCTGTCACTATTAACTATTGTCACTAATAAACAAATTAGGTGTTTATTTTAATATGAGCTCAAGCAGAAACAAAAAAATGCTATTAGAGAATTTCAGATAAAACTCTCAATTTCAATCCCACACAGTTAAATAGTATAAGCCTATTTATCAATTTAAAATTAATTTAAAAGAATCAGAATAGTCATGGAGTATATATACTATTGTATGTTTGTGTGTGTAAGAGAAAACTTGTTTAGATGGAGTATAAATTTAATATGTGTTTACTAACCAGATTTGTTTAGAAATTTTTACAGTAATATTCAATATTTATTGTCTATTATATTACATACTACATATTATTATCCATTGTATCTGTCCATCTATGATGTGAAGCTTACACACATACACACACACACATACACACACACATATATGTATATATATATATATATATATATATACCAGTTAAAAATAAAGTCTATTTGAATTGAATATGATAAGTCAAAAATAGAATTACATAGATGTTAGAGTACAGCACCTAATGCAAGAATTAGAGAAAAAAATTGTGGAGTCTTAGGAAAAACCATTACTTCAAACAAAAAAAAGTCTTCATTGAGTGGGAATGTATATCTAGATTGGAAGTGAGTAAGGAAGGAGCTAAGAATACACTTACTATAAAGCTCCAGACAGAAATATCAGAAGGGGGAATCCCAGTGGCAGGAGCAGAGGTCATGTTCAGTGAGAAAAGTGAGTTAGTGCTAGATCTTTCATGGTTTTATAGGCCATATTCAAGAATGTGATTTTATTCTAAATGACAAGTCAAGCATGCAGAAGAACTGGCATATTCTGACTTACCTTTTGTTCAGATGGCTCTAACCACTCTTTGAAGAATAAGATATAGAAGAACAAGAGGAGAAGCAAGAGACTCGTTGAGATGTTAGGGTCAGGATTCCATCGAAATGGTGGTATAAGTAGAAATAATTATTTGCATGGGATATAAAAAATGAAATATGCTAAAATACCCAAAGATTTATTTATACTACCACCCAAAAAAGAATATTGGTACATTGTCATGTGTACAGACCTCAGCTAGAAGACTCAGCATTTGTTTGAGTGCTTGTCAAGAGACAGACTCAGTTATATTTTTATCAATAGTAATTTGTATAGTATTATCCATATTTAGTAAATAAAATAACTGAGTCTTGGAGAATTTAAGGAAGTTGTTCAATTTCACTTGAGAGACTATATCCCTAGCTTTACCCTGAAAAGTATATAAATTGTATTTGACTTTTATACTTTAAATATATTCTGTATATTGAAGGTACCTTACTTTAGCAAAGGTAAATTTGAAAGAGAGCAAATTTTGCCCAAATGTATGTGAAAAAATTATCAGCATCAGATGATATACATTTATAAACATTTTATAGATAATATGTCAACACTTATGAAAGTAGTAACATTGTCGCACATAATTATCTTTCAAACACAAATGACAAATAAAATTTTCTGGCACAAGTAATGTTTATTATAGGAATAGTTACTCTGCTACTCTTCTCTTTAAAACCATATTTTCCTACTTTATTACTCACCAGGCTCTCTTCTCCAAACACAAAAAGGAAATCTCTACTTGTTAGTTACCTGTTTAATTCCTCCAAATGTTTTTTATACAAGAGATACATTGGAATGTAAGACTAGGAAATTGTAATTCAACCGACAAGTCCTGAAGAAGTTATTTAAAATTCTCATTTTGTTGAAACACAAATGACTTACTTCCTGTGACAAGAGAGTTAGAATTTGGGAGTATGAGGCTCTAATCAGTTCCTGAATGTTATCAACTCAGATTATTGTGGCTTTTGTCAAGAATAACATTCTTGGATTTGGCTCCTTTCTGATACAATTCTGAAAGATGCAGCTTTGATCAATCATCATGTGTTTGCTCCTCTCTCACACAGCAGTACATGTAGAACTACCTGACTACTTTTCAGTTTCGAGTTTAAGAGAACTCGCTCAGTAGAAACAAATTCCATATATGTTAGAAAGGAATTGAAAACATTACTAAGCATTACTAAGCAACCAATAGTTCAAAGGTCATGTCATCAAACTCACTTTGTAAAAAGTCATTCGTTTCTGCCTTGAGGAATTAAAAAGACAAAATCTTTTTGTTGGTAGACATAAGCTCACTGCTTTATTATTGAAGTCATCTATTTGTGACATAAATTGTAATTGTGTAATTTTGCATAGACAAATTGTGGGAAATGAAAACAAGGCTGCCAATTTATGTTATCATCTCTGTTTAATATTTTTCTTAACAATATGTTATTCCCAGTAAAGAAGCACAATTTAAAGAAATTTTCAATGACTTTCCATTATTCCTTTCTTATCATTTGCTTTATTTTTGCAGTTACAGAAACACATTATGGACCATTTAAGTGCTATGAAAATTTAGCCCACTTGCCTTTTTAAACAATATCAATAATTTGTTAAGTTGTAAACTCTAGTTTAGAAAATAGCTATTAGTATAAGTTACTTTTTCTGTTTAACCAATGGGAAAAGAAATCAGGAATGGAGGGTTACAATTTTGTTTTCCAGCACAAACATTTACTGAAGAACAGATCTAAAGAAAATAAATTCATTCCTCTATGGCCTATGTCTTGTTCTTTACTTTGTTCCACAAAACCTGTGATTATCAACTTACCTACATCAATGGTCAGCATTAGCCTTTCTCATACCACCTTCCAAATATGAACAATGTTTCTGAATCTGATTCATGGAGTTAGAAGGGGAAAAAGGATTTTAGAAACACTTGGGAATTTGAAATATATCACCTTCTCAGATTCCTCTGAGAATATCTTACTTCTACTATCAGGAGAATTATAATCACCAATTTAATTATTTTTTTAAATAAGTTAATAACATACTATTAGTCTTCCATTTCTCATATGCTCTAGACACACTATTAAATGAAAACTGATTCATCATGATTTATTTTTAAGCCACTTTCATATTAACTACATAATTAACTCATAGATAAAATTCCTTATTTACAACCTTAGTAAGGTTTATTTCACTTGCTCAGGAAGGTCTAAAATGACCTATAGAATAGCAATCCACTTTATTCACTTTCTTTGAGATCTTTCTAAATTAAGTCCTCTCCAAAATACATAATCTCTGGAAGTTGTTGGGCCTCTTTTGTCTTGTTTGTTTGTTTGTTTTGTTTTCCTATTTGATTATGCTCTCCTGGATCTATTCAAGTAACCGGACTACAGAGTCAGGCCACCACACTCAGCTCATGTCTGAAATTTCATACTCTTTTACTATGAGTTACATGGCAGTCAATTTTATCTGTAAACAAAAAAGAAATAATAAAATATAAAGTTGTGACTATTGGTAATTAAGTGAAGTTTGACATATTATCTAATGTGTTCTTTATAATATAAAAAGAATTCAAGACCAAGGGAAAGAATATTCCTAAAATGAAACATTAATATAATAGTAGAATTGAAACCTAAATATGTCTTGATCATAAACACTTAACCTATCATACAGATTTCACATCACATTTAAAGCTTTTTAAAAATTTAAGCACAAGGATGCCAGAGTTTGATCTCTGAATTAAAAATAAATACTGACACATAAAATATTACTGATTGTCAACTGAGTAAATATTTTGAAAAAAATCTAATTCATTGTCTTTATATTGTATTAAGAGAATCAAAGACCTTAAATGGAACAAAGTTTATGATCCAAAAATTAAACTTCCTGGAATGTTTGTTGGCCATTTTCTTGGTTGATAGTGATGAAGTGTACAACCCACTATGAACAGAGCCACCCCTAGGCTTATGGTCCTGGGTTGTAAAAAATAGTGTGTTGAGAAAGCAATGAAGAACAAGCCAGCAAACAGAGTTCCATTCTTGCATAATGTCTGCTCTCATTTCTTCTTCAAGTTCTTTCTTCAATTCCTGCCCTGATGTCCCTTCATGATGGAATTGATAATTCTGAGATGAAATAAGCGCTGTCTTCCTCAGTTTGCTTTTTGTCACAACCAGTCATATGCAAATAGAAACTAAACTAACAAGATATCCACATATATAAGCAAAACCACACCCATTTCTCATCATATATTAAAGGAATACAATGTGTGTGTGTTTCCCTTCTTTGGTGTTTGCTACTGTGAGGTGTGAGATTATCTGTTGCCTATGTTTCTGTGGGTACAGCTAACTTTCTAGAGCTGGAATTTTCTTTCTAGTACTTTCAGTAAGGCTGGATTTCTGAATAGGTTTTGTTTAAATTTTTTTTCATGGAATATCTTGTTTTCTCCATCTATCATGATTGAAAGCTTTGCTGAGTATAATAATCTGGCCCTCCATCTATGGTCTTTTAGTGTCAGCAGCTGTACAGGACCTTCTGGCTTTCAGAATTTCCATTGAGAAGTTGGGTGTAATTCTGATATATAAGCCTTTATATGCTACTTGACCCTTTTCTTTTGCATTGCTTAATATTCTTTCTTTATTCTGTATGGTTAGTGTTTTAATTATTATATGGTAAGGGGATTTTTTTGTTCCAGTCCATTTTCTGTTTTCTAAGTTTTTTGAACCTTCAAAGTCATACCTTTTTTTTTAGGATAGAAAAGTTTTCTTCTATGATTTTATTGAATATATTTTCTGTGCCTTTGGTCTGGAGGTCTTGTACCTTTTTATATACCTATTATTCTTAGGTGTAGTCTTTTCATGGTGTTCCAGATTTTCTTGTTGTTTTGTGTTAA